AAAAATGAGATAAAAACAAGTGAAGGTCGGCCACCGACCAAGTCGGTCCCATAGGGGCTTCCCGTCCAGTCTCGCAAAAACATGAATATCTCTCTACTCTGATGTCCTATTGACAAATGGTTTAATGCATTAGAAAACAGACTCATAGATCTTAAATTTTGTAGGTTAATCATCCAGTAACTACAAGTATAATGGGAGAAAAGCTCAGCTACATTTGCCCTAATATTCAGCACATTTAAGAATGTAACTTGTGATGACCTTTACCAACTTTTGTTCCACAACTCGCTTGACTTCAAACATAACACACGACTATCATACTACTAACATAAGTGCCTTATCATGTTAAGCACTCTAGTCTCACCCCAAAAGTATATGTTATAATATTTCCAACTTGTTGACTTTTGACGAAACTTATTCTCTTCAATGTGTTTACCTTCTAAGCCTTCCAACACTCTTGGTACTTGTTATTCATGATCTTAAATATTTGTAACCTCCATGGTAACATGATTAACTTAGTTTATGTACTTTCAAATATGATCACATTTATGAGCTTACATCAATTGACTTACGACGTACTCTCACGTACCAAAACATGGGGTATAATATCATTCCCCCCTTTGGAACATTCGTCCTCGAATGTTGACTGGTGCGTTTATCAGTCTATAACTTATAGCTTTTACGAATACCTTAATACTGTCCTTGCCCTCTAGGCTACTGTTCTATGAATAAATCCAACGGCCAGGGCATTCCCCCCTTTAGGCCTCTTTCTCACACCACGACATGTGGTCGGAATTTTTCCAATCTCGTAATTGTTGCTACCTTCTGGCATGCAGCCTGTATGACTCTATCCTTGTACGGGGGCCTATGCAACTCTTCTCTCCTATTTCCTCCGGCTTTTAGCCAATCTCCAAGCCTCACTTTGTGAATATATACAGAACTATGGCAAGTTGTCCCTTTGGCATCAATAGGTGTACTGAAGTCCTTCGCTTGGTACTTTGTCAAACTTACGACTGTTGCTATATTTTGTTTCATAGCCTCGGTTATCTATCCTCATGGATTTACTGCATCTAGTCAGGTTATACTATACCATACCACTTACTTTAATTTGTTATTACCGAGGTTTGCTACCCAACTCTAGGTTACTCTCATTGCTTATCCTATATGTATAAATCCAAGTCCTTTAATGCTTCCTCATTACTGTTCATCTTAAGAATGACAACCCAATCTCATCTTATGCTTTGTAACTTTTATCCAGCTATTGTTGATTCACCTTCATGTTGATCTATAATCTACCACTGATAACTTGAAATCTTTTACGTAATACATTGTCATTAGGACTCACGTCTCATCAGGGAATATCTGAAGTTATTTGCCTGATCCACCTAGGGACGATACTATACTTCAATAACCGTATTTCATAGCATCCCAATGTGATTCATCTTAAGGGGGTATTCTAATCCTATACAATTCATGAAATCCCTTCATTTTGAATCAATACTCAATCGAAGGCCTAAATGTCATCCGATTATCATTTATCACAATTACACCCTTATTATACTACCAGGGCAGCATTCCATCTCTTCTAAATTCTCCTAGTTTTAAACTCCTCCGAGTTCATTAAGGTTATACAGAGCTTTCTATAACTTAGGGGAACCATCAGCTCTCTTGTTTTGATGGGCTTAATCTTAAGGCCTTACCTATTCTTGTCACCTTCTCACTCACCTTTTCTAATCCTTACTCATGGCTACCTAAAACCTTGTTGCTCTACCATACTTTAGCTTACGACCTACACATATCTATTTATACTACTCGCAACCTTCCTTTAACTTGCTACCACTATAGATTTCCTTATATTATTCTGGAACCTCAAGCGAAACATCACACAATCTCTAAACTCTTACTCTCTTAACTAGACCTCTCGGTACCTGAAAACCATAGGGTGGAAGATATGCTACTGACGACACCAGTATCATTTCTGGATACTGAATCACAGTGCTTATAGTACTCTACTTGAAGTATGGACTATTCACAACCTTCTGTATTTGAGTATCTCTTACCTTCTTTACCTTTATCTTACTTACCTTTAAATATTGCATTGTATCTTCTGTCACTTTCATAAACTCCCTTCCACATGGGTGGAATTCACATCAACACCTTAAAGTTCTACTATAATACATGCAGCTTTGGTACATACACAATCTGGCAGGAGCTTCATACTGACTTCTTATGAGGTTGGTAATATCCTAACTTGCTTTATCATAGAGCCATTATTAAATATGGCTATTGTACTATCTCTCTTGTACCTCTTATATTAAGAGTGATTCTGCAATGTTCTCAATCACGATTTCTATAATTATCCAGGTCTAATAATCAGACTCCTGATTTACTTAGCTGATGTAACTCTTTAGTTTCCTCTTCTCTCTCAGCCTTAATGTATGCTTAAGCTGTCTTCCAATCTGTGGCTTAGGGGATTAGTTATTACTTTAGTCATTCATGGATGCTATGGAACATCCATGATATAATCTTCTAACAATTCAAGCCTTTGTCTGTGACATGGACTCAATCCTTTCTTTTAACTTATAACGGACTCTCCTATAATTGTAAGAATGACAACATATATGTTGCATGAATAATACTCTGAAATCTTAAGTGCGGTCATAACGTAACTAACTCTGGGTCATAGATCAAATAATTCCTTTCGTGCCATCTCAGTTGTCTTTAAACGTAAACAATTCCTTTTCCTAGTCGTTCTGCCACTTGTTGCTTGAATACTTGGCTTATCTTAGTGCCTACATATATTTGAATTTCGTGCAACTCATATGATCTCGAATGTTACTTTTGATTTTACTTCTCGTTCATTAGTCACGATAGGTGCCACTCTCTTATGGAACTCACATACAATGTTCTAGTGAGAGTGTTGTTACAAGACCATTTCTTCTTCCACTTACTATGCTTTGGTTGAAGCCTTCTTCCTTATTTCCTCAGCTAGTCTTTCATTATAGTACTTAGGGGAGGCCCTCTGACTCTTGTAAATATGCGAGCTTATTACCTCGTATATCCGACAAAATATTTGATGTTCTTACTTGCATATAATTATCCTTAGTTACTTACCTCCGCGCCCTAGTGCTCGTAGGGTTGCTCCTGAACTAAAATTTTGATGGTCTCCCTAGTGTCACTCTCTTTTGTTTCTGTAACACTTATACGATACCTTTAACTACCCCAAATCGTATCTGAATATTTCTCAAGGATAACGATGTCATATCTACAAGACTGAATTCCCTATGTTGGGGTTTACTACATTTACCTTGCACGATCTACTGATTTATGTGTATCCTCTCATCTAGCCATAACTAGGCTCTTCCTGAGTTAACTACTAACTACTCGTTAGTCTATTTTCATATCTATATTCCGCGTAATATCTCTTGGGTTATGTTCTTTGTCTTAACTTATGCCTCGCACTGGCTTCTTATGTATCAAGTATCCATTCATACTTATTTATCAATAACATCCTGGCGGGGAACCCTTACTGCCACTCCCCTGCATCATTCTTTCATAATATTCTGGAGCAGTAACATATTTGTAGGATCTAAAAAAAATACAATCTCATTCCTTTCGATTTTTACCCATTCTTCCTTTACTATTCTATAGTTACCTAAACTACTTAACTCTGACTTAATACCATATCACACCATCTTCCCCCTTTTAGGGGGGTACTAACATTTCATGCTATGAAGATTTACCTATAAATATTTTACCTCTTCATCTTCGGCGTCTTTTCACATCTTCACTAACTCTTACTCGCCTTGCGGTAACCCTTCTATACGAGGGATAACTGAATTTCTTACGCGTGAGGGTGACACCTAGTATAACTGGCACACTTAGTCCCTTAATCATAACTCTGCTCACATTATTTTTTGGTAATTCACAAATATTATTAATCGCCAAAGAAGCAAATTACATAATATAGAGGCCAACGCATCCTGTATACAACTCTATCCTGAGCTCATAGCCTCGAAAGACTAGTTAAACACTATTACCATTACTATCTACAAAAGCTTATTTTGCAGAACTAACATGTGTTTGCCAACAGCTCGTACATTGCAAAGATAGGCTACCTCTCTAATGATGCTCTGCCTGTCCCTATGTATCTTATCGAATACTCTTTGGTTTCTTTCATTCCATAAACTATACAGTACTTCAGCAAAAACCAATCGCATAAGCTGACCTTCAACAGACTTCTTAGCTTTCTCCACAAACTAGGAAACTAGCTGAGTCCACGTCTCTAGTTGGACCTGCATTTGTAACCAGTCAAAGACATCTTTCCACAACCTAGAGGTGACAGTGCATTTGCAGAATAAATGGGCATGAGTCTCTGGATGTAGTTTACAGAAGACACACATTCGATCAACATTGATGTTCTATTTGAGCAACCTATCAGTTGTCATCATTCTTTCCTGTATGATCAACCACATGGAAAAATTGCTTTAGGTCTAGCTAAGTTCTTGAACATGATTGCTTTCCACTTGACTTAGTAATGATCTAAGCTGCTGCAGATACAACTGCTAGATCAAACTGCAGTTGCCTCTTCCTTCATGCAGTTGAGGACTAGGGACAACAACAGTCAAAATCTTTTGAACCATCCATCTTGCTTGCTTAGACACTTTGATAGTAGTTATAGGTTGCCCCTTCATATGATACATATGCACCCATTTGATCCATAGTCGATATTCGTTTGTTGTTAGGTCCCATTGCAGTTTGAGAATGGCTGCTTTATTCCAACTTTTGAGATTCAATATGTTCAGCCCACTAGTACTCTTAGGTTAGCAAACTTTCTCCCAGGATATCAAAGCTCGCTTGGTAATGACATTAGTACCTGACCACATGAAGCTTCTACGATAGGATACAATGAGTTTGATCACCTTGGAAGGCATCAGAAACATTTGAGACCAGTAAGATTGTACTCCAAAAAGTATAGATCTAATTAGTTGCACTCTTCCTGCTTATGACAATTTTCTTGCAGTCCATGAGGATGTTTTTGTTTCAATTTTGTTAATTAATTGTTGCCATTGTGTCACCTTCATCTTCTTAGTATTAAGAGGTACTCCCAAGTATCTAAATGGTAGGTCACCTTTCACATAGCCTAGTTGCTGAAGAATAAGAGCTTGTTCTATAGTGTCCACTCCACCAAAATATACAGAACTTTTGTTTAGATTAGCTTTCGGTCTAGATGTTGTGGAGAACTGATCAAAGCATTGCTGCAACAATGCCACAGACTGATTATCTCCCCTAGCAAACAATAGAAGACCATCAGCAAAACTCAAATGAGTAATGCATAGTTTCTTGCACTTTGGATGTAAATGGAAGTGCCTATTATTCTTCGGGTCTGTGAGAAGCTTACTCAGATATTCCATGGATAAAGCAAACAAAAATAGGGACACAGGGTAACCCTGTCTGAGGTCCTTAGCAGCCGGAAATGGTTCTATTATTTCTCCATATATCAGGATAGAGTAACTAACACTATGGAGACGAGATGATATCCATTGGATGAATTTATGAGGGAAACCCAGACCATCCATCATTTGTAGCACATAGCTCCATTCTACACTCTCATATGCCTTTTGTAGATCTACCTTGATCATGCATCTAGGTTATATGTGTTTTCTTGAATAGGCCTTAATCATCTCATGTGCCAGGATGATATTGTCAGCCCCTTTCCTTCCTGGAATGAAGCCAGCCTCAACACCATCAATCAAGGATCCCATTACCTTCTGCAGCCTTGAAGCTAGGATTTTAGAGACGATCTTATACAATATAGAACAACATGAGATAGGTCTGTAGTCTGTGATGGTAGTAGGGTTGGTGATCTTTGGTAATAGTATAACTGTAGTACAGTTAATGGAATTAGGCAGCACACTGGTAGCAAAGAACTCAGATATTGATTCATATGCATCCTCCTTAATAACCCGCCATGCTTTCTTGAAGAAAATAACATTATACCCATCGATGCCTGGGGCTTTGTCATTACCAATAGCATGAAAACAATCATCTACTTCTTACTTAGATATATCCTTAACAAGCTCCACTGCTTGTTGGTGATTTAGTTGAGGGCCCTTTTTTAGTATTTGAATGTTTAGAGCAATTAAAGTTGTAGAAGCAGTTCCCATAAGAGACTTATAGAAATCAACAATCTCTTTCTTGATACTCTTAGGCTCAGCTAAGTCTGCACCATTTAGAGCTGTTAGACTTGTAATATTTTTTCTGCTTGCTCTATCTTTCATCATAGCAAAAAAATATTTATTGTTTCCATCTCCTACATCAATCTAGTGAGCTGTGGAGTTTTGTTGAAGTATCATTTCTTCAATAAGTGACCAATTCTCTAATTGAATCCTAGCATCCTTCTCCATAATCCTTAGATGTTCAGAGTAGTCTCTATTCATTTCTTGTTGGATGTCAATCAAGTCTTTCCTTGCTTGGTCTATTTTTCCTATCACATTCTTGAAATCTCTGGTATTTAAACTCTAAAATTCATACTTCATAGCTTTAAGCATGTACCAGATAGTAGCTAACTTGCAAGAATGCTGGGTACCATGCCATCCTTCAGTAACTATTCTCTGGAACTCCTCATATTCAGTCCAAACATTTAGAAACCTGAAAGGCACTTTTATATTATTATTCCTTCTTTGAAACTTCAACATGAGTAGTGTATGGTCTAAAATGAATGGATCTCCAACTTCAATTGTTAGATGACCAAGGTTCAGCATCCAATCATCATTCCCCAAAGCTCTATCAATCCTGTTAATTACCACGTCTTCTCCCATTTGCCCATATTTCCAGGTAAAGAACTCACCTCTGCAAGGAAGTTCAGACATCATTGCATCTGAGCAAAAGTTTGCAAAATCTTGGACTTCTACTTGGGTTACTCCATGCTTTGACACTCTATCTTGTGGATTAATAATAGCATTAAAGTCCCCCCATAATAGCCATGGTTGATTTAAAGTTTGTGCAAGGTTTTTGAGCTTTTGCCATATCTCCTTTCTCATCTCTAAGCAGTTATATCCATACACCACAGCTAGAGCACAACTGACATTAGAGCTAGTAATGGTACAGTGAATAAACTGAGCATCCATTTGTACCACATCCAATTGCCATACATTTTTGTTGACTAATATTCATATTCTTCCATTAACCGCATGGGCATAGTTATGTACTAATTCCCAATTATTTTCAATGTTAGGGGCAATAACAGAAGCATAATGTTGTTTAATTCTGGTCTCCACCAAACCTACTAAGGAAATATGATTGTCTTTTAAGTATTTAGCCAACTCCTTCTGTTTATATATCTGATTTTTCCCTCTCACATTCCACATGATGAGTGTCATTTAGAAGGGTCTAATGTAACACCTCTAGTGGATGCTTATCCCCTTGACTTCCTGATAGCACTCCAAATGCATCCTGTGTACCAATTGAGAAATACATAACTTCTGCAGTCTTTCTAGGAGTTGAGACACCAGTTTTTCCTCTCGATACACTATTGTTATGACCTTTAGGTTGTATGTCATTATTGACCTGAATAGTTGTTTGATCCAGGGATTTTTCAGCCATCTTGATAGGGACTACAGTTTGCTCTTTAGGAGCTATTGTATTAGAAGATGTAGCTTTAGAAACATCAGTTGGTACAATTGGTTCTTGAGGCTTACTTGTATTCTGTGGCATATTTCCCTTACTTCTCCATTCTTTTGCTGGCTGGTGAAATCTGCCATTCACCCTCTGCATTTTATAAGGTTTACCCTAAACTTCCTCTATAATTTTACACACATGTCCCAGTTGTTGACAATCTAAACAAAATTTAGGTTTCCATTCAAATCTAACAGCTTGATGGTATATCCTACCAGATGGATCCTGTATTTTAACTTCAGTTGGTAGTGGCATTGTTATGTTCACTTCAATCAGCATCCTGCCAAAAAAGATTCTCGATTTGTTAGCTGTACATTCATCAACAAACAGGGGCACTCCAACAGCACTGCCCAATCTGCTCAACGAGTCTTTTCCCCAATAGATCATAGGCAAATTAGGGAAGGAGACCCATAGGGGTATCTCTTTTAGGAAAGTTGTATCAAATTCTAGGTCAGGAGACCATTTCTTAAGAATTATAGGCCTGTTATTGATTGTATATGGTCTTCCATATAGAATTTCCTTGAGGTCATCTTCATCTTTGAATTTGGAAATGAAATAACCCTTGTCATGCCAGAAGAGTTCAGAGCATGGGGCTTTCGACCAATTCTGGTTGATGAACCTTTTCATATGATTATACCCTGGGATTTCACCAATTACAACAACAATCAGAGAGTGTTTCCATTTATTGACCTCTTTGGCATTCTCCATGGGATACAATTGAATAACCACATTACCATCCACAATCATTGGTGGACTGTAAGACAGAGCAAGCCCGTTTGAAGCCATCCGCTTTTTAGCAAACAAATTAACCCACGCCGGAGCTACTGGATCCTTGTTTGCCGTCAATTTTTGCGGTTTTTCATCTGCATGTGCATTTAGTTGTAGTTTCACCATAGCCGACACATTCGATGTTGAGGCCACACATTCACTCATCACTTTGTTCATTCCATTATCAGCCTTAGGCAATCCGCTGCCCAATTCAACTAGACGAGGAGGAGAATTGTCAATTTCCATAAAATTACCATTATCGTTGCTCTGACTTTGTTGTTGAACCTCTGGAGAATCAATTGGTACTGCTTTCATTTTCTGAGAAACTAAATGTGCTGTAGGAGATTTGGTTGTTGTCTGCAAGCTTTCAAGAACTAGTATCAGTATCTTCCTCGGTCATCCTGCTCCGTTGCCTTTGCCCTTCTCCATTGACAACCGCCGTTCCCTCCAAACGTAACCGCCGCTTGGAGAAATAAGTCAGTGGAGAGGGAAGTTTCTAGAGAGGGAAGCGGCTTCCTGAATGATCTTTAAAGGTTATTCTTCCGTTGTCCATTCTATCATTGCCGACTCTTCGGTCCCTAAATCATGTTCGATTCTTTTTCTTGTCAACTAGCCCATACTAATTTCTATTACTCCGGGTGTCTAACTTAGCCTTTTAGTAATCATTTTTGAGTCACCAACTCATTTCTCAAAATAAGGATATGACTTTATGGCATATACTCTTTTATATTCTCAAGGCATGTCTCCTCTTGTCTTTTCCTTTACTTGACTCTACACTCTGTCATCTTGTCATATTATGATTTAACGTTATCATACTTTTATCACATCTTACTTGTAATGCTTCATTTACTCTCTTCTTATTCTCCTGCTAATATCTCTGTCTATTACCTTATTCTGAAAACTTCAATAAAACATTCTTTCACTTTTATCTCCCCTTGCTCCATCTCACAGGCTCTTCGGTTCGCTTAATATTCTTTTTTTACTAGGGGCGGGAGTCATACTAAGGTAAATATTTATCCCTTCTAGGTTTCCATTACATGTCTTCTGATATTTCTGAACGTTATAGTATTCATATCTGACTGTACTATTCTAGAGTGCACCATCTGGTATGCATGATCTAATAGGGCCTCAAATAAGGCCACGTTGTCAAGAATTCTCTCTCTACTAGTGCCCTTACCTGCTGCTGTACTAGCCCTCTAGCTAGTTGTAATTTTTCTAATTGAAAGCATCTCTATATCCTTAGCAAACGTAAATCTTGGCTCGAACTCTTATGACTCAATTCTATAGCATGATTTGGATTTGAAAGAAGGGTAACAAGCTCCTACATGCCTTGTAGCTTCCTGTTTATATAATGTGGTGCACAACACATCAATAAACAAGGCTCTACTAGACACGACTTGTAGACTCCTGATGGTAGGCTATAATCTCGTGTTTTAGTCGCTTATTGCACTCTAACTTACTGCACTTTAATTGAGTTTGAGCTTTGATCGCTAGTGTTTTTTTCTAATTGTGTGTTTTATGCCTTGTAGGAGGATTTCGAGTTATGTAGATGTTACGGAATGAGTTCGAGTGATTTGCAATGTGGGGAGGCACGTGACGCGCCACGTCTGTACAAAAGTCATGCTGCTTATCAGAAACAACTCTCTGGATTTCCCCACAATGCCCCGCATGGCATGTCACCCTATGCGGTGCGCTTGTGCAATATTTATAGAGTAAATGTCCTATTTTGCGTAGGAAAAGGTATTTTCGTTTGGGCCCGACCCAACTTGGTATAAATACATGGAAAAATGTTATTTCCTGGACTTTTGACACATCTAAGACCTAAGGAGGAGTGGGAGAAGCAAAAGCACAAGGAATTCATTATTCAATCCTCACTCAAGATAAGAGTTTGGATCGTTTTATGTTTTCCTTTAATTTAAACTTATTTGTGATGAATTACTCCATATCTATGGAGTAGTTCTCTTTAGGGTTTGATGAATTTGGTGTATTGATATTTGGTTGTGAATTATAACTCTAGTTTTTATTTATTGAATAGTTTTGGATGATTTAATTGTTGTATCTATATTCACATGTTCATGTAATCGAGAGAGGCATAACTTGTTATATCTTTGCATTATCTTGTTGGTTGAGTTCA